GAGTTAGCATTTTAGTGTAAGCAGTCTCTAAAAAGCTTCACTATAAGAGAAAGTGATAATGCAGTGTGCTTCTTCTGTTGCTCTGCTATAGAAAAGAAGCTCGTCAGCGCAAGATCAGGGATGGGAGTTTTGTGAAAGCACGGTTTAAGAACTGGCGAAAGGCAGAGGAAACATTTAGGGAGCATGAGAAGTCCCATCAACACACAGGCCGTCAACAAACTGGCAGCATGACAACGAACACCGATGAATGCGCTGCTCTCACAAGCTGTTGCTAAAGACCAAATGACTGCATTTAGTGTGACGTTATTATACCGGACCCTCCCTCCACGCAGATCACGCAGACTGCGTGGGGCCTCGTTTTGCAGAGGGAGCCTCATCTGAAGCGCAAACGCAGTGTAAGCGCCACAGTTTCGACGCTGCGAGTCACAGGTGAGAGTCACAGGTGAGCCGCAGAGAGTCACAGGTGAGAGTCACAGGTGAGAGTCACAGGTGAGCTGCAGAGAGTCACAGGTGAGCTGCAGAGAGTCACAGGTGAGCCGCAGAGAGTCACAGGTGAACCGCAGAGAGTCATAGGTGAGCTGCAGAGAGTCACAGGTGAGCTGCAGAGAGTCACAGGTGAGCTGCAGAGAGTCACAGGTGAGCCGCAGAGAGTCACCGGTGAGCCGCAGAGAGTCACAGGTGAGCCGCAGAGAGTCACAGGTGAGCTGCAGGTCAGCAGAGTTCTGCAGCAGGACGTCCTCGGGGTGTAAAGGACCGCGGTCCCCCGTGAACACACACATCTCACCGTCACCGGACCCCCCCGACAGGTGGAGCCCTCCATCAGGGAGACCAGGGGCTGGAGGCGGGGCTTAGAGACCAGGACTGAAACACAGAGGAGAGCAGGGCAACCTTTTTTTATTCCAGTTCATCTTGTTTTAATTTGTATTGGCTTTTTCTTTACTGCCTTTAAATATAGTTTTATAAGATGCTTCCTTTGCACCATATCTTATTGATTTATTTATGCCTTGTTAAAATGTGCTAAATAAAAAACTTGATGACATAAATGTATTTATTTTTGCATTAGACTGAAGTTGTTGAATCTGACAGAGAACGCCTAATCAGGTTAAAGGTTACAGGTTATAGGACCAACTTCATCACCATGCTATATTCTGACTGGGGGGCAGTTATTTTCTGAGGGGGGGCAATAAATGCAGGACGAGAAAGACAAAGACAGTATGAAGTAATTGCGCATAAGAAACAATGCATACAGTTATTCTTTCAGTACATATTTATTTCAGATACTTATAGTTACACTTTTTACGCTCTAATGGGTCCGACTAGAAAGATTGTCGTGGCTTCATTCCTTGTTTTTCTATCAAGCCACTAGACGCCTTAAACAGACACTTCTAACTCGTTTTCTTTCCTTTATATTACTAACAGTTGAAGAGTTACTCGGCCTCCGATGGTTTGGATGAAGTTGCGATGTGTTTGAATGGTATTCTTTCTTCTTGATAAGGCTTCTATAACTTCATAACTTAAAGGGTAGTTAAACGATTTGTGTACGTGTATGGTTAAAACTGTTCCTCGATGGCGTCTCTCCAACAAGTGCAGGAGAGCAGGAAGTCTGACCCGAGGGGAGCCGTGATCGGGCACGGGGGTTTCATGGTGATACCTGTTAGTTCAATATTGAACCCTCTCCACCTGCAGTGTGTATTCTCACCTTCAGTGACGACCACCCTCACTGACGTCATGATGTCAGCATAAGGCCTGTCGATCCCGACCCAGTAGACCCCGCTGTCCCCCTTCTGCAGATCTAAGACCCTCACAAACAGTTCTCTACTCCGAGCATCCACGATGTGAACCCGGGTGGTTCTGGTCTTCCCCTCCGAGTCCACCAGCACCTCGCAGGTCCTCCTGGACTCTCCTCGGCACCAGTACTTGTTGCTGAGCAGCTGGTTCTCATAGCTGCAGGAGAGCAGGAAGTCTGACCCGAGGGGAGCCGTGATCTGCTTCTTATCACACTGCAGCTGCAGACTCGCTGAAACAGAAAGGAAAAGGGAGTCTGAGAAGAAGCTCTTTCATGTCATACCAACAGTGGGTCTGCTAATGCACATTCAGAGTGCATGGGAGTTGGTTGCTTGTGAATATCCCCGTGAGAAATAACACTTGTACCTGGAAATACTTTCCACACACCTGAACACACAGAATATCACGTCAGCTAGGAATACACATCTGTACACAGGTATTTATGTTGTGTGTGTGTGTGTGTGTGTGTGTGTGTGTGTGTGTGTGTGTGTGTGTGTGTGTGTGTGTGTGTGTGTGTGTGTGTGTGTGTGTGTGTGTGTGTGTGTGTGTGTGTGGTTAAAACACATCAGCTCCCTCCTGGTGCTGCAGAGATTTCATGAAGTGAAGGAGGTGTTCCTTCCATAAAGCAGCTGTGGGCAGCAGATACTGTGAGAGTCACAGACATGAATACATAGATCAAGGCAGACTGGTGCACACACTCTCCTGTTTTGCCAATCCGGTGGTTAAACAAATATAGCTCTACATCCCTGGCCGACATGTCCTTAAAATGAAGTCAGAGTTCGACATTTTAATTCATTCATTACCTTTCCAACTCCTCATGCAGTTGACTGTTACAGGTCTATCCAGGTTCATGGTACAATGCATAAGCTTCACATCGAGAGACTGAAACTGTGTTTTCCTTTACCGTTCTGTTTTCATTTCACAATAAAGTTAATAGTCACATTATGTTTGATATTATTATGTTTTATTAACTACACCACTGGTTTTTTAACCCGCGCCGCCTAGTGGTTAAAGCACGTTATTGAATTTTGAGAGTAGCCTACATACACAATATAAAATATCAAGAAGACACTGTAGTGATCTCTAAAACAGTTGAGTGCAGGACGTCCAAAGATATTAACAGGAGGATGCAAAACAGACCAACTAGGCTTTATTTAAACATTAAACATTACTTTAAGTTAAGGTCTTCTTGAATAAGAAAAAAACGTTGGGGTTATCCACAGATAAATATGAAGTCTGACAAAGTACTTAACGTCCAATATATTGCATAGTTTATTTTGGCACTTGACAATCACCTTCCCTGAATTTGAGTCAGGTGTAACTAAAGTCTGATTTAAGGGTTGTTTATATTTCACATCATTAATCACAATCTGCAAAGGAACTAAAATAAATGTAGTGGAGTAAAAATACCAGGTTAACCTCTGAATTGTAGTGGAGTAGAACAAAGTAGTATGCTGCTGTAACAAAAACATTTCAAGTCTGCCGTGGCTCCATTCCATTTCAAAGAGCTGTTGACGCTCAGCGTAACCTTGCCGCACTGCCACTCCAACATCCAATCACAGGGCTTGATGACTAATCACGAGGTTTGTAAAGCAAGGCGGATGTTGTAGTCCCAAACGATAGCTGGGGATTCTGGGTAGTGTAGTGTCTTCAGAAACTGTAGTGTCAAAACTCCTATTTGTTTCTCTGAATCGAAGGTTAAAAACACAAAAGCATTGCACACCATTTAAACCAATCAATATTGTGTAATTAACAAGGATAAACTGATGTTGTTTAGTGGATGAGTAATGCAGATATCACTGTGTAATCATTTGACAGTGAGGGAATATATCCGGTTTTATTGTGAAAACTTCGAGACCGGAAAAAACAGTTTTCACCCACGCTAACTTTACATGGAAGCTGTATACACGTTATCCTGGCGAGACCTCAGATCATCTTCGTAATATCTATCAAACTATAGATCCTACACATCCACTGGACGTGGATTCTAAGAGTACAATATACACTTCTCGCTAGAAATCTAATCAAAAAGCATTTTAATGACCAAACTATTCCACAATTTAGGATTTTCCAGAGAGGGTTATTTGTGAATAAACGGGAGCATGTTGTTTCTTACACGACCACACTTTGAAACGTGGCTCTGGGTCGTAATCTAAGGTGCTTCAACAATCGACCTATTTGGTCGTTTTTTGTAGGAGGGCAGGCTGGTCTGTTTCTAAGGCCATTTTATTTTTGGTAGTCTGATCATTTCAACAAGAGAATAGAATCAAACTGAAAACATCGTAGATATGTTCTAGATACATGAAGCAGATTAATGAACAGTGAAACTCGCTCCTGGACTTTAAGGTGAATACTTTAAGAAAAGGTTTTCCCACACTCTTTGTAGGAGCCATTTTATGGGTGTTATTGGTGTCTCAGTTTATCTTATTGATATGAATAGTGCAATATCAGGGTATATGCAGGAATCCTGAAGTCACATTTAATACCTTTTAAGACCTTTTTTAAGACCCTTTCCATACATTTTAAGACCTCATCGCAACTTCGAGTTCTAACCGGTTACCTTGGCGACACTTTACCTCACATTGACTATATTGATTAGCTAAACAGCACAACTAAACAGAGTGCAGACAGACGACTGAAGCCTCCTCTCCATGAACTTCAACCTCTCTGTGAAGGTCAGGTTTAATGCAGTATGCTGCTTTGTTGCTTCTGTACTCTGTGCTCTTTCATTCACCTTGAGGGGGTTTCCCGACATGTTGTTTCAGTAAATTAAAGGGTGTTTCTTGTTGTCGTTGCTGTGGATCTTCTTAATACCTTGGAAAATGCAGTCTAATACTTTTTAATAGCCTTAATTTTTGCTAAATTGAATTATCAACTTTTAATACTTTTTAAGAACCTGCGGTTATTTTCAACACTTGGTGGTGGGGTGTTATAAAAGGGGTCATAGGTGACAGTAGAGGAAGTGGACACAGGAGGAAGAGCATACCGATTCTACCAGACGGCCAGCCCAGACGATGCTCATACTACAGCTATTGACACAGTGTACTTAAACCTTGGTATGTAAATCAATGGAACAGCGCGCTGTCGGCAGACGGACAGAAAACGAAACTTAAAGGAACAGTGAACATTATGCCTGTCAATTCTGACGTTACGTCAACAGATGGCACTGTTGGGATGGGATCTGTAATGGAAAAAAGGATTACCCAACACAAGGCCAATAGATGGGAATTGTTTATTGTAAACTGTGAAAAAAACAAAATATGCTTAAATGCGGCTCCTACACTCTTAAACCCACTATGGTTTTTCTCCTGAGTGAACACGAAGATGTCTTTTGAGAGCATCTGATCTAGTGAAAGTTGTCCCACACTCTTCACACCAGTAAGGTTTTTCTCCAGTGTGAATACGGTGATGTGTTTTGAGATTACTTGATGTAGTGAAAGTTTTCCCACACTCTTCACAGCTGTAAGGTTTTTCTCCAGTATGAATACGATGATGTGATTCTAGAGCACTTGATTGAGTGAAAGTTTTCCCACACTCTTCACAGCTGTAAGGTTTTTCTCCAGTGTGAATAAGGTGATGTGTTTTGAGATTACTTGATCTAGTGAAAGTTGTCCCACACTCTTCACAGCCGTAAGGTTTTTCTCCAGTATGAATACGTTGATGTCTTTTGAGAGCACCTGATTGAGTGAAAGTTGTCCCACACTCTTCACAGCTGTAAGGTTTTTCTCCAGTATGAATACGTTGATGTGTTTTGAGATTACCTGATGTAGTGAAAGTTTTCCCACACTCTTCACAGCTGTACGGTTTTTCTCCAGTATGAATACATTGATGTGATTTGAGAGCACCTGATGTAGTGAAAGTTGTCCCACACTCTTCACAGCTGTAAGATTTTTCTCCAGTATGAATACGTTGATGTGTTTTGAGACCACTTGATTGAGTGAAAGTTGTCCCACACTCTTCACAGCTGTACGGTTTTTCTCCCGTGTGAATACGCAGGTGGCGTTTTAAAGTTCCAGATGCTGTAAAGGATTTGTCACATTGCTGACAGCTGTGATGTCTCTCTCTTCCTTTCGGTTTCTAGAACAGACAGAGAGAGAAAGAGAGAAAGTCAATCTAAAAAGCATAAATATACAAGTTAACACAATAAAAACTCACTTAATATAAACCTTGAGTTAACAAAATACTACTTATCAACTGTTTGTCTTTATTATATTTGATACAGTAATACAGCAATATTCTAACCAAAGTATATACCAGAGGTGGGGGACTCGAGTCACATGACTTGACTCGAGTCACATGACATGACTTGCCTATTTTTTGACTTGAGACTTGCTTGACTAACATTGATAAAAGACTTGAGTTTGACTTGGTATTCATGACTTGAGACTTAGGCTTGAGACAGATGACTCCAAAGGACTTTACTTTTTAAAATAGAATATTTGCATTTGTATTGTATGAAGCACCTAGAGGGCAATGAAAGAAAAAAAAGAGAGAGAAAGTCTCTTCTCGTTCGCAGGAGAAAGTAGGAAGTGGAGCGCACAGGAGACAGCCGTTTCATTGCAGACTGTTATGTTTATGTGGGGAAATACATACAATTAACTACGGGGGTCCCTCAGGGCTCTGTTCTTGGTCCCCTCCTCTTCTCCTTGTACACAAACTCGCTCGGATCAGTCATTAGCCCGCATGGTTTTTCTTACCACTGCTACGCTGACGACACCCAATTAATTCTGTCCTTTCCCCGCTCAGAGACCCAGGTCGTCGCACGCATCTCTGCTTGTCTAGCTGACATCTCTCAGTGGATGTCTGCTCACCACCTCAAGCTCAACCTTGACAAGACTGAGCTGCTCTTCCTCCCGGGAAAAGATTGTCCAACTCTTGACCTGACAATCAACATCGGCACCTCAGTTGTTTCCCCGACTCAGACTGCAAGGAATCTGGGTGTGACCCTAGATAACAACCTGTCCTTCACTGCAAACATCGCTGCTACAACCCGCTGCTGCAGATACACGCTTTACAACATCAGGAAGATACGTCCCCAGCTGACTCAGAAAGCGACTCAGGTTCTGGTCCAGGCTCTCGTCATCTCACGCCTAGACTACTGCAACTCCCTCCTGGCTGGTCTACCTGCATGTGCCATCCGACCTCTGCAGCTCATCCAGAATGCAGCGGCTCGTCTGGTTTTCAACCTTCCTAAATTCTCCCACACCACTCCGCTCCTCCGCTCCCTTCACTGGCTTCCGGTAACTGCTAGAATCCACTTCAAGACACTGGTACTTGCTTACCGTGCTGCGAATGGATCTGGCCCTTCCTACATCCAGGACATGGTTAAACCGTACACCCCAGCGCGTGCACTACGCTCTGCATCAGCCAAACGACTCGTTGCGCCCTCGCTGCGAGGGGGACCTAAGTTCCCATCGGCGAAAACACGTGGGTTTGCTATCCTGGCTCCAAGATGGTGGAATGAGCTCCCCATTGACATCAGGACGGCAGATAGCTTGCACATCTTCCGGCGCAAACTGAAAACTCATCTCTTTCGACTCCACTTCGAGCGTTAGAACGATTAACGAAGCACTTTTATACCAATAAAGGACTGGATTACCTAAAGCCAGTTGAGTAGCACTTGAAATGTTTGGCTCTATGAAACCTGATATACTTATATGATTCTGTTTTCTTCAAGGTTGTGTCTTCCTGGTCGAATGTACTTATTGTAAGTCGCTTTGGACAAAAGTGTCAGCTAAATGCAATGTAATGTAATGTAATGTAATTATTTGAGATATATTTCAAACTCGGACTTCATTTTAGGGACATTTCGGCCAGGGGTGTAGAGTTATTTGTTCAAGCACCGGATCGGCAAAACAGGAGAGTCTGTGAACCAGTCTGCCTTGACCTATGTATTCATGTCTGTGACTCTCACAGTATCTGCTGCTTTATAGAAGACAACCTCCTTCACTTCATGAAATCTCTGCAGCACCAGGAGGCAGTAACGTGTAACTCAGCAGAATCTGAGAAGAGCAGCAGCAGCTGCAAAGAGCTGTGCCTTCACTGTGTTTACCTTCATTAGAACAGCTAACGAGCAACCGCTACCACACGCTACCACACACACACACACACACACACACACACACACACACACACACACACACACACACACACACACACACACACACACCACACACACACACACACACACACACACACACACACACACACACACACACACACACACACACACACACACACACACACACACACACACACACACACACACACACACACACACACACACACACACACACACACACACACACACACACACACACACACACACACACACCACACACACACACACACACACACCACACACAACACACACACACACATCACACACACACACCACACACACACACACCACACACACACACACACACACACACACACACACACACACACACACACACACACCACACACTATGATTTCAGAGCCCCACTCTCCATTGTTGTTAATGTTGAAAATAAAACTCTAGTTTCATAACCACTGTCTTTTAACTGATTTAAACTGGGTTATTCATCAGGATTTCGTAGGACTTGACTTGCTTGACTCTCACCCCAGTAACTTGAGACTTGCACATGTATGACTTACTCCCACCTCTGGTATACAGGAGACAGAGGAGACGGCATCCTGTCACTGCGAGTCTCAGTATGCTCCGTTCCTCTTGTGTTTTGTTTTTTTGTCTAAACTTTGTCGTGTCTGTATGAAACGTCATTTTGAGAGACCATGCTTTTGATCCTGTGGATTACGTTTGCCTTCTGCAGACCATGTCTGGCCATTCAACTTTCCAAGACACACCTGAGTGACAGCACGAACAGGTATAGCGAGGAACCCCGGCCTCTACGCTGCTACAGACACGAGGCAATGCTAGAGCTACAATGCGATCGGACTCCTACGAATACACCAAGTCATCTGTGCTCTTCGTTATTGGATGAAATCCATCGGGAGCCGCTTAGAAACACCAGGAAAAAGAGACGAGGAAGGAGGGGAGGCGTTCAGAATACGGCGGAGATTCAGCCGGCCACCACTTCCATCCATCATTCTCACAAACCTGCGCTCATTGAGCAACAACGTGGACACACTAAGGACATACACAAGGTACTGTCATGAATTTCTCGAGGCCTCTTTATTGTGTTTCACGGAAAGTTGGCTCCAATCTACGATGCCTGAATCTCTCTTTGAAGTACCCGGACTCACCCTTGTTCGAGCAGACAGGGATGCGAACTCGGGGAAAACCAGAGGAGGCGGTATTTGTGTGTATATTAATGATCTGTGGTGTTGATCATACTCAGTAAAATGTAAAACCTGCAATCCCAACGTAGAAATTCTCAGCATGACGTTAAGACCCTTTTATCTGCCTAGAGAATTCGGGTGTATTTGACTGTTTGTTGTTTACGTGCCTCCCAGCGGCAGAGGACACTGTGTTCACGAGCTGCAACTCAGCCACCCCGATGCACCGGCAATAGTGCTCGGGGACATGAAGCAATGTCGCCTGGAGACTGTGTTACCTGGGTTCCAGCAGTGTGTTAGGGATCACAGCAGGAAAGACAATATCCTGGACAAATGCTTTGTTAATGATAAAGGAGCCTATGTGTCTAAATACAGACCACCAATACTGAACTCTGATCATAGTGCTGTGAATATGATACCAGTGTATAAGACCAAACTCAAGGGAACCAGAAAAGAAAGTAATAAATCATATGTGACTAAGGACATAAAACAAAGACTATGGAGCACTTGAACAGACAGAGAAAGAACTGAAAGTCAAATTGAGGGAATCAAAACACACGGAGAGCTTTTGGGAAATGCTTTTGAAGCCAAAGACCCCAAAAAAGTGTGGGACACCATGAGAACCGTGACAGGAATGACCTGTTCAGCTAAACCTATTGTGAAGGACAAGACATACTTGATCCATACCAATTTGCCTATAAGCAAGGGGGTGGTACTACAAGGGACTGAAAACTCATCTCTTTCGACTGCACTTTGAGCGATAGAACTATTAACAAAGCACTTATGGCGCATTTCCACTGCAACGGGGTAGCCCCGTTTAAGCGTCCCTAAGCGTCCTCGCTCAGGCCTCGGGCTGCCTCGCTGGCCGTGGCGCATTTCCATTACAGTTTAGGACCTGGGGTAGCAACGCAGTGTAGGCGGGGCGATCGGCTTTTTTTTTGTTCACATTTCGAGGTTGTTCCGTTGAGCTCCCGCTGGATTTGATCATCCCCAATGAGATGTAGGAACGTCGTCACCTCCTCGGTCGACCACGGTGTGCTTTTCTTATTAGACGTGTAGCCATTTTTGTAGCTCATCTGTTTACAAAATGCTGTTTATAAAAATGCTGCACGCTTGCTTCTAAATATATGCGACACTAGGGATGAACTCGCGCGCGATCTTGTGACGATTCTCTCTGACCAATCAGCAGTCGAGAGTGTTGACGTCACTAGTTCAGCCCTGGCCCTGGTCTTATAGAACCACGATTTTATGGGGCCAGAAAAAGTACCCGCTAGCCGGTACTAGGCTATATGGTAAGGCCACCAAAAACTGGCCTGGCCGCTTGAGGACGGGTTAAGGACGCTTAAACGGGGCTACCCGCTGCAGTGGAAATGCGCCATTATATACTAATAAAGGGCTGGCTTATCTAAAGCCAGTTGAGTAGCACTTGAAATGTTTTTGCTCTATGAAGCCTGATGTACTTTATGATTCTGTTTTCTTCAAGTTTGTATTTTGTTGGTCGAACGCACTTATTGTAAGTCGCTTTGGATAAAAGCGTCAGCTAAATGTAATGTAATGGTACTGCTGCTACTCTGGTTCACATCATCACTAAACATTTAGATAAACGTCACACCTATGCAAGAGCCCTCTTCCTAGACTTCTCAGCAGCAACACAATACAAGCAGACATCTTGGTGTCAAAAATGGAAGTAAATCCATACCTGATTTAGTGGTATGCCGCTTTCCTCACCAGTAGAGAGCAACTTGACAAAACCCTGTCATCTGCCATCACAACCAATGTAGGGGCCCCCCAGGGCTGC